CCAAAGATGTTAAAATCCAGTTAAATCCAGTTAAAGCCATACAAATGAGAGCCAAATTTTGACCCTGTAATCTAGAGATCTCCAGTGATCCACATGGAAGATGGCCAAGTACAGTAGGATGAACATGAGCCTTGCCCCACACAAAAATAATAATTAGGTTGCAGAGTTTAAGAGACTTAGTAATGATGTGTCTAAAGTGTCAGCATAGGGGATAGTAATAAGAAAACACTCAATAGGTGGCAGCCAATACAATATGTCTTAAAAAAAACTCTGCTTAGTAAAGAATTAGGCATTCTACTGCTGCTTCTACATAGTGAGTGATGCCCACGCATCCCACGGAAGACTAGAGGAGGCAGTGACTCAGTGCGTATGTTGTCGGAAGGGACACTGTAGCATGGTTGGTTTTAATAAATAGGTGACAACATGGCTAGAGGCATTTGTGAAATGAAATTACGTTCCGTGTTTTTCATCATTTATTTTACTGGAGTGAATAGAAAGTGACACTACAAACTCAGTTAAAAATAATCCTTAGTGGACATAAATAAAGAAGTAATAAAGGTATTTCACTTCCTCTTCCCTTTCTAGAGGAAAAGAAATATAAAAGACTAATAGCCAAGTAGTTGGAAGTGAGAAATGCTGTATAAAAATTACAACATAATCTGCATTTAATTCCAAAACTTGGAAAAACTCAATTAAACTAAGTAAAATTGTTCTTTTAGATTTGGTGCTCATACTATAATCAGAAAAATACCTAACACTGAGTATGGGTATCAAGATCAAGTGAATCAAGTGAATTTATCTTGAACTAATTCAAGATAAATATCAGAATCAGCGGACCATGGGGGTTTTCGTTTTACTTACAAATTCTATATGTTTGTGTGTATTCACGTACCCCTGGATATGCTATAAACACATATATGTTTAACGAACTTAATCATAGAGTTCTAGTGCCTCTATTACCTTAGATAAGTATGCACACACAATACAAACACAGCTCATTTAATTTATATCTCTGTGTGCCAAATTAATTTAGCGTGACAGAGATGTCTTACCATAAGTATAGTCATCCCTGGGTACCAACCAGGCATTGGTTCCAGAAGCACCTGTGGATACTGAAATCCACGGATGCTCACCTCCCTTGGTTGGACCTCCATGTCTGTGTTTGTGGAGTCTGTGAACACAGAGGCAACTGTACTAGACCACTGTGGAAACTGCAGGACGATAATTGAAATCTCCCTTCTTTAAGAGGTTAATATTTACTATGAAGACATTATTTATAAAGATGTAATTTCTGATTCAAGTACAGACTTGTAATCCAAAAACTGACAGGTCAAACTGTTTCTAACCTCGTAGCCATGTTTTGCGTTCTTGCTTCCTTTGCCATTTATTCTCTCTGCTAGTAGTGTGTACTGGGTGGGCTGTGAGCAGAAGGGGAAGAGGGTAGAGAAATAGAGACCCTCCACAGCTGGTTGATACACCTCACTGACGGGCATCTCCGGCTATTTTGCTTCATGTACAGTTTCTATTGCCCCTTCGGTTACCATCAAGAGGTTGTTAACTTTCATTCACAGGCATGGGTTACAGAGGTGCCAAGTCTGAGAGGAGGTGACACTCAATGGCATAGTACATTGACTGCAGGGGACTGGAACTCACGATGACATCCTAGTGAACTCAAAGAAAAAGCTAAAATGAGCAAATTGGAGGATTGGTGTGTTGGTCATCTGCTGTGCTGGAGGAAATGCAAAACAGGCCCCTCCTTGGAAAGCAGCCCACACGCCCCTGGCCTGGGAGAGGACAGCAAACGTGGTGCAGAAGACGTGAAGGACAGACAGGTGGTGGGACAGTGTGTTTTTGACAGCACATTTGGAAGATGTCTCCAGACAATGAGTCGCCATCCAAGTATAGTGTTGATCAAGTAATAGTGTTTAGAGAACCTACGACAATGACTTTATTTTTTCCTCTCACTTTAATTGCCTTACTATCCTGGATACGAACTAAAGGTCAACTGAGTGCTCTCTAAAGTGAGGCTTTGGGAGTTAAAAACTATTAACTTGAACTAGGTTTTCTGACCATTACATTATTCTGTTCTATCAAAACACAGAGCATGCTTCTAGGTGAAGGGGGACAGGCGGCATAGATAAGGAAGGGGCACACAACCTCTCTGTGGTCCACACAAATGAGAAGAAAAACTGTGTTGTAAGTAAGTTTCTGAATGACATGCCCTTTAGCATAAGCATATCTATCACAAAATGTATTTTTCATGTAAATAAATACTATATGCTCTGCATACGTTCTGCCAAGAGTTAAAAATCCAGATGTAGTATTTTAAATTACAGAGAGACAAAAACACATAGCTTCTGTATCTTCATTTCTTACAGTACCAATTAAGAAATTCTGCCCTACAGTATGGATGTTTCCCTGCAATTCTCTACAAATCACCATTAATAAGATAATAGAGCAGAAAAATTAGTAGGAAGTTTATTTTATTTCCCCCCCTGAAGGCTGGCTTTAGTGGGAAAATTTATCTTCATTTCAACTGTACTGCATTGTGAAAGATAAAGGAACTCTACTGAATAAAGGACATGACATTCCTCTGCCTTAGGTTTCTGTTTTCTTTCATCAAAATATTCTACCTAGTAAAGTTCACAGCTCAGTGCTTATCTCTCTGTAAACACATATAGATTAACGAAACCCACGATTAAAGAACAACAATTTAGGACGCGATGCAAAATAGGCAAAAAGGAGGAGTGTGAGACGTGCGAGTGCGGCCGGGAAGCTGCTCCCAGTTTCGTTTTCTGTCAGGTGTGTCACTCGGCTCATCTGCACGGGAGGGGCAGCAGGAACGAGTTTGTGTTGCTTTCATCACCAGGCTCATTGGCTGCAGGACCAGAGACAGTGAAAAGATCCTGGCCCCAAAGCTATAAGCAGAACACGAGAGGGGAACACATTATCTTTTGTCACTCTCCCTAGGTCTGTCTGCCGCCTCCTCTGTGTTACTTGAAAAATAGGTTCCTCATTCAGACAACTTCCTGTATGATCTCACATCGCAATGGCTGTCACCCTGATGGATGGCTGATATTCAGTGGGTATCGCTAAGGGGAGTGGTCGGCACAGAGGAGACATACCTGAGTTCTTCTACAGTTGCACGAGAAAAGTCAAGTTGTTGTCACTGATTATTTTTTGAAATTGAGAAACACGGTGGCTAAATGATGAATGCGTCAGCTAAGACAAAGGCAAGGTGAAAAACAGGTGAAAAACAGCAGACACAGAAAAGAAATTATGAAAGAAGCTGATCCTCAGAGTTCAAGTGTTGTAAGGTGGGAAATAGTCTAGAAAAAATGTTCACAATTTTATTTTTGACTATTAAAAATCACAGTATTTTCTGAGTAAGCTGATATTAAACTAAAACATTAAGCATCATTAGCATGAAAGGTATTTTTGATAAGAGTATTTACTAGCAGTCACTTGCTAATAATAAAAAAAATTACAGGAAATCTGTAGTCATCTGTGTATTTTAGAACATATACAATTAAAACATTAAAAATACTTATTCTTAAAGAGTCATCAAAGGTAGATATATCATCCTCATTTTTGATGTCAGTAATCTAGACATCAGAGGAAAAAAAACTTTGTTATAAGGCACACAGAGTAAAGTTATGTATCTCTCTGTTGTGGTTATTGAAAATGGTTAACCAATGAAAGAAATTACTATTTCTATTATCACGATTACTATTATCAGAGTGTTACCCACGCAAGAAGGAAGACTTAGTGTGAACTATACTATAACACTGGAATGTTCTATAAAGGCTGTCTGCTATGATAGATAGGAAAAAATAAACCCAACTACATTCTGTTTTGGATTCTTAATATTTTACTTGTTTGCATGTGTCGTAATAACTCCTAGCAATATCCATTTATTGTTCTTTTTAGGGGGTACACTTGATGAAGGCAACTAACTTACATTACATCGTTAACTTCGAACTTTAGACTGTGAAATCTACAGAATATTAGAAGGTCAATCAATGTAATGGAACTATAGTACATAATTATTCTGGTCCTTTTGACTTTGCCACAGAAGTCACAAAGAGAAGAAAGTATGTTCTAGGCATTAAGTAACCTCTTGTCATTTTTAAAGAGCCATCACAGAAAATTAGCATCTCTCTTAATACATAAGAGATTAGACTAGAATGTGAAAAGTCAGCGCTGCACACTGACTGGGTCATCAGTAACAGGCCCCGGCACGGCAGCGCTGAGATATTATTAACACAGCCCCGCGGAGGGAAGGGCGGTGCGGAAGGCTTCCGGTCACGCTTCCTAGCATGGAACAGCATCAGCTGGCTTTGCTGATTCTTTCAGGAAATCAGACTATTACTGTACTTTGAAGTTTAAAGCAAACAACATGTTTCAGACCTAGATTCAAGGCTTTGCTGAAAAAAGTTATAAGCAAGATGGTTGACATATAAGTTTAGCTCTGAAAGTCTCTGACAATCTCTTCTATTACTGAACCAGTTTTTAATAGGAAGTTTTCCAGTGCCCCTTGTCAGCCATGAGTAATTGTGCTAAAAATGAACAAACAAAAAGCAGTCAGATCCTTAAAGAAAGTGACAGATACTTTATGTCTTTTAAGTGCATTATAATTTCTTACTTATGAAGGAATTACCCATCAATGATTTTAGACCTGTGGTCTCGTATTTCATAACCTGAGGTATAATTTCATGACTGCGTATCCCACTGAGTTGAGATAGTTCAGCTTCTAAATGTGCTCAGGTTTACAGCTGGAGAGTAGCTTAGATATCTGGGTTAGTTAATATAATTTCAAGTTACAAAATAGTACCTGCAGAAGAAAACATTATTAACCTGCATGCCGAGTCCATCATGCCCACGTTTGTGTATGGGAGAAGGTTTCACACTGAGACAGGCATTTTAATGTTCATCCTAAATCAGTCTCCACAATTGTACAGCAAAATACACATTAACGAAGGCAATTTTCGATTATTCAGTCATTTTTGAAAATTTATTGAAAGGGAAAGACATTTTCTGAAATGTTATGGGCCTTCAGAAAAAGACTGAGATATCAGAATCTACCAAGATACTAAGTGAACAAGAGATCACAAAAGTAGAAAGAACTTACGCAAAATGAAGCACAGATGAGTTCACAGATAATGACTTTTATATTATCTATAATACTGAATACAGTTCTTAATTTTATATCATTGTTACACATTTATTACATTATTTTGGAAGATAGTTTGAAAAAACATAGTAACAATCTTGGTACCTCCCAAGTTAGACTAAGAGGTATTAGAACAAATAAAGCCACCAACTACCCACCTTAAAAAATACTGGATGCATTCAACAGAAATAGTCATATATGACACATGATTCAAATTTCAATTTAAAAGCATCAATTAATTGGCCAGGAAAATAACTCTGTTTAAAGACTACATATATATAACTTCATCTGTTTAAAGCTTATATATATATCTTCATTTGAACATTCTAGCTGCTTAGATATCAGGAAAATATAGTCTAAGATCCCTGAAATTTCAGAAATATTCTCTCCTACTTCCTAAAGAAAAGTTTGACAATAATTTGCATAAGTCAATACCGAATTTCAGACATCTGACGCTTTGGCTAGACACTGCATTCTGAAAAGCTTGCACATCATACGCTATGTGACAATGAGAAGAGGAAAACAAAGCACACGCCTCTTCCTGGGAGGGCTGAAATCCGGTCTCTTCAGTTGGGCAGATCCACGTTGTGAAGGACGAAGGCCACTCGGCTTGGAATATACACCTAAGTCAACACAATCATGTCAGTGCAATTGAAAGAAATAGTGAAAGTGATGTCATTAAGCAAAGGGATATGATGCCCTCTCACATTTGTTGTTATCTTGACAATTCTACCATCTTGGAGGAGAGACAATTTCACCTTTCCAACAGTTTTGGTGTCCCTGTGAGACTCATTTAAAATAATTACCACTAGAGGGCACCATAGGCTTTACAAAAAAAAAACCCAATATTTCCCCAGACACCATGAAGTGCTAAAGGAAGCCTGTCCTACAGGTCACAATGTTAGTCTTGTCAGGTGAAGAAAAGTAATATACAAAACACTGATTAACACAAGATAGTTATCATCTTGTTTTTATTTTCTCCTATCATTTTAAGGACAAAAACTTAAAATTAATATAAGGGATCCTAAGTGATTATGAGGCCCCTTGCCAGTTTAAGACCATCAAAAAGCTTGACACAGCTCCTTTTTGTATGAGTAGGTCCCTCATCAAGGCTCAATGCCACTGGTCTCTCTCCCCTTCCTTTCCTGCTCCAGCCACAGGTCACACCCCGCCCTTCCTCTGGGTCTCTGCCCTGCAGTGGCCTGTGCTCAGAACATCCCTAACTGTGCTACTTCTGTATCTCCTGCATCCTGAAATACCCCAGGTCCATGGACAGGTGTCTCTTCATAACATGAGATACAATAGTTTCCCCATTTCGTTTTCTATCACAGCACCATTTTTGTTACTTTCTGAACACAATACAATTTGTGATTTTTTTCAAGTGTATTATGAATTCCACTAGACTCTGAGCTTTACAAAGGCAGAACCACGTGTCTTCATATTCCTCTTAGCAGGTGCGAAATGACAAAGTAGGTGCCAAGGATGAATGAATGAAAAAATAAATAACTAAGGGGATAAACAATAGTGAGATCAGTATGTGCACTGAATGAGACCACTGTATGTCTCATGCATCTCAGATCTGCAAAAGAACACAATGTTTTCCCTTAAGGATTCTGTAATAAAGAACATTTAAATGGTAATGGAAAAAATACAATAAAAATTAAATGAAAAAAGAACACTTAAAGCTCTTTTAAAGAATCTAATAAACCAATATAGCTGGTTAGTTCTGATCATTAAAGATGAAAGCAGTGTTAGAATGATGGCATTTTGAGAAATTTATAATATGAATTTAATAACTAGAGAATAGTTTTCCTCATATTCAATTAAAAATAACATTGTTTAGGAAACAATCATCAGCAGCTGAGAAAAGTTTCATAAACGCCAAGTCACTGGGTAAGCTCAATGCTTTCCAGTCCGATCTGCAATCCAGTACTTCCAAAAGATCAACATTGTAGCCTTGCAGTCATTAAGTGAGGAGAAATCAGGCACAATCTGTTTCCCTATAATTTATACATTGTTTTTGATGTCCTATAGGTTTTAAACTACATCACAACTTAATTAGTAATGCAATCCCTTCTAGTCAGTATTTTCTCTTACTGATGAAAGGAACCTGGGGATACTCATAAAGCAAAGGAAGACTCCTACCAACAATCCAGACAGATCCAGTTCAAAGAATGGCATCTTTCCATAATTAAGCTGCAGATTAAGGCAATACAGAGCAAAGCAAAGGAGGGGAAATAAAAGAAACCAACAGTCCGATTTAACCAGTTCCCTCCCAAGTCTTATCAAAACAGGCATGAATCAGAAGACAGTGTCCGGGGCCTTCCAAGGAAATTTGCCATGTACTTACCCTGCTCTGTGTTGACTTTGTGGGATCATAGTAAGTAGGTACATAAGTAATTAGTGGGATAGAGGGTTATAATCAGAATGGTTCTCAATTGTTCTGTTATGAGTATTTTAAAACTGAAGACCAACCTAAACTTCTCAATAGCGTCAGAACTGGATTAGTTCCTTTTACATTAAAAACATTTCTCTGATGTTATGTGGTCCTATATGCATACAGAAGGACTCTGAGAAAGATGTAATGAAACACTCACGTTGGGCCCAGGACAAATAATAACAGGTCCCTGCTTGGGGGCACAGTGACATATCAGGACAAGCCACGCTGAGCTCCTATTTGGATCTTATGCAGTTCTGGCATCTGTTTGATTTATAATCTCATTCTGATTTAATATGATTAAATGGTAACTATAAACTGATACTTTAGGAATAATCTTACTCTGTGATCTTTTGGTATTTTAGCTAGCCCAAATTTAAAAGTAAAACACTGGGATGACCTAAGAAGTTCAAGGTTCACAATGTATGCATTTTCTCACTTTGGCATTTAATGGCTTTAAAAAATGCCCCAAGAACTCTCATTAAATGATGTCCGTCATTTCATGTAAGGAGCTTTATGACACCAATTGCAGTCCCACTTAAAGACCTCTTATTACTATCTGCTCAGAAGCCTTCGTTTGATAATTGTATAATGTCATTAATGGGAATGTTGTGTAATTACAGCACTTTTTTCACTGCAGTGTTAATTACCAGGCTGTGTTTATGTTGCTCCAGAGTTCCTTGCAGTACAGGCAACATGAAATAATTTCCCCAAGTAAGTGGTTTTTCTTAACTATGGCTGTATATGGAATTTTGAGTTTTCCTTATTAGGGTTCTGAGTTTGAAAATCAGTGTTCTTAGTGGTTAGGAAATGATCGGCAATTATGCTAAAGGACGTGTGCTAACCAGAGCTAAGCCTTATGATGAGACGGCCGGAGGCATGAACAGTGTAGGGGCTCTACTATAATTTAGCGCTAAGTTTTGGCTCTGTAACTCTCATTTGAAAATTTAATTCTAAAATTAGTTTTGATTCACAGCAATAGAAAAAGTATGAACACAATTTAAGATTTAAACATAAATGTTTAAGTATATTTAAATATGAACTATTTATATCCAAGTGCATGTATATAAAAACCATTTCGTATGCAGTGCAGATAATATATGGTGATACACAAATTTACTAGCCCATTTATTAGCCACTAAGCCCAAAGCATTTTGAGGCTAGGGTCACTTTAAGAACATATAAGACAATGTAATACATGGCCATGGATTTCATTTTGTCAAGCTATATTCACAGTCCACTCCTCACAAGAAGTCAGAATGCCACATTATAATCCACTTCATTTATTAAGAAAGTCGAAATGCACACTAACCTACCTAGTTACTCTGACTGCCCTGAGGACTTAACCACCAGGCCAACCATGAGTAAGGCTGAAAAACATAACTGATCACTCAACGCTGTGCTGCACAATGTCATCCGGGAAAGGGTTATCTTCTTCTAGGATCATAATTAAGTTGCTAAAATTATTTACACAATTTTTTAAAAGATTTTATTTATTTATCTTTAGAGGGGAAGGAAAGGAGAGAGGGACAGAAATATCAATGTGTGGTTGCCTCTTGTGGGTCCCCTGCTGGGAACTGGCCTGCAACCCAGGTGTGTGTCCTGACTGGGAATCGAAACATGATCCTTTGGTTCAGAGGCTCAATCTACTGAGCTACACCAGCCAAGGCTATCTACACAATTTTTTAAAACAGGTGTGACAAATTTAAAAGTAATTTTAAGTAAAATGTATTTAAAAGCTAATGTTAAAGTTTTCTTAGAAATTGTTAAATTTATCAATAGCCCGTAACTGAAGGATGAGGACATCACTCGATGATTCTTAGCAGTCTACATACATCTGTTGGTTACTAAAAGTTACAAATATTGTGAAAAATACAAGTGACACATATAATTTAAATTTTCATGAACATGCTTTAAGGTCATAAAATATGCTCTAAGAAAAAAGTCTTACTCTAATTCACTTTTTTGCATTAGGGTTAACAGAAAAGTGGGGCCATAACTATTTCTATATAGCATTATATAGTATCTTATCTAAGTTAGAAACATTAAAAAGAGTCAACTTTGAGAAGTTTTTTTTTTGTTTGCAAAATAAACTAAACATTTTCATAATTTTTGATAGAGTAAAAGACATTTCTCAACTGTAAGTTGTCATTTCAATACTTAACAGCTGAGGGATAATATAAAATATATGTCTATGCCAACTCCCACATCTAAACAAAAAAGTCTACTTTTAAACCCCTACATTTAGAATGGGAATAAAAGAGTGCGCCCTTATCCACGGTTTCTCTTCCTGAGGTTTCAGTTACCAGCAGTCAACCGCGGTCTGAAATTCCAGAATAAACATTATTGATAAGTTTTAGGCCGAAGGCCATCCTGAGCAGCGTGATGACGTCCCCCACCCTCCCAGATCTGAGCCGCCCCTTTGTCCAGCACCTGCGCGCTGCAGACACAGCCCACCTGTCAGTCACTTAGCTGTCCCGGTCACTACACGACCGTCACAGTGCCGCGGTGCTGTGTTCCAGTAACCTGTGTTCCACCCACTCACGGCCCCGCGCCAGGGCAGGGATGCTGGCAATCAGGAGAGACCGAAGGGCAGTACGATGCTTCCTCTCAGCGAGAAGGCGAGTGTGGTGCACAAAGACGTTTGGAGAGAGACCCACTCACAGTTTTCATTTCAGTACATTGTTGTAACTGTTTTTCTGTTTTATCACGAACAGTTGTTGTTTCTTACTGAACCTAATTCATAAATTAAACTTTACTGTAGGCCTGCTTGTACAGGAGAAAAACACAGCATACAGTGTTCAGCACTACCTGTGGCTTCAGGCACCCACTGGGGGTCTTGGAACGTTATCGCCTCTGGTCAAGGGCAGCTGGTCACTGATTCACTTCTTAATGACGAGGGCCTCAACTGGTAAAACAGTAAACGCTGAAACTATTGCTTTTTTCACTCTTCAGTATTGAGGCTGATCGAGTTACTATAAAGGAATCTAATTAATTTCATGTCCAATGATCTCTGTTCTCCCTTCTGTGCCATGAAATTTGAGTTTATGAGCCAGAGAAGAGACAGAAAGCCCGCCCCCATCCCATTCTCCAGTGCCCTGATTCATGTGTAGGTTAACACATGTAAGGTCCCGTATCAAAAACCAACATAGAAAGAAATGATTGCGCTAAAATGGACTTTCCAATAATGGCCAGTAAAGCAGAATGGAGACATTCTGTCTTGTTGCCTCTTGCCTGGCGTTTGTGAGATGCTCTGACCTCCGCAAACAGCTCCAGCAGCGCACCTGCAGTGAGTCCGCCTCGGGCGTCAGTTCCCTGAGCGCACACAGGTGGCGCCTAATGCGGCGCGTACAGCTACTTTAACATCCCTTCGGGCTGTGTTTGGTTGCTCTTTGAAAATAGATTTGACACTATTCAGCGGATCCCTTGGATTATTGAGCTCAAAAATTGAGCTTTAGCTAATGCTGTGTACCATTTCTGTTTGGGGCAGAACTTTCAAGAAAAAGGACAAAGTTATATTTTAGTCCCCCTTTCCCCAATTATTCTAGGTATGTGGGAGGCAGAAGCGATCTCTCATTGGTGATGAAATGAGACCTATAAGCACTTCTGGTCATGTTCAAGAAACTTGATTGGATTCCAGCACAGACGGATAAGTTTAATAAAGAGTTTCATTACAACGAGGCATTCTTGTAACCAGCATGCTTTTTAACACTTTTTTTTTTCTGGTTTTTCGAGGGTAAGTGTGAAGAGAAGGCATGTTTTAATGGATATTCTGTTCTATTTGTGCTCCCTTATTCTTACCTTCAAACCCGTGATCACTTCCTCTGGAGCCTCAAGACTTATTTAAATGAGTAATTCCTGAAGCACCTGTAGTTGCTGAAAACAGGACACTGCAGCTTCGGGAAGGCACAGCTCATCTTTACCTTTCTGACCACGTCCGCTCACAATTGTTATCCCAGGCAGTGAGGCAGTGGTTAAACTCTCTCAACCCTATTTCTCAGGTGTTTGCAATGCCGTATTCCTTGGCCTGTTATTGAAATGTATGTGTATTCTCCATTCCACCTGCTAATTTAGAAATGCACATTTCATACTTGCAAGATCAATGCAATTAGTGCTTGAAAAGTAATCTCCTGGCTGCTCCTGTCACTGGTTAGTTGGTTGTTTTAATTATGACAGAATATGTTTGCTCTCGCAAAAATGAAAGGATGGCAAGATAGTTGGTGCCCAGTCCCAAAGGCTGGGAGCCCTCATTTAAGATTATTTTCCCCAAAGTTGAGGGGACTTCTTAGCTGCATGCCTTCAAAACACCTAGTTATAATAATGTGCTTAAAATACCTAAGAAATGATACCTAAAAATAATAGTAAGTTTAAAATACAGGTGCAGTGGCATTTTGCAATTTCTCAGAATCATGGCTGTATAGAGGAACTTATACTTCCTAAGAGCCCCTTGCTGTAATGAGGATACTACTGCTATCCTTAATAAACAACCGAGGAAAACCGAGGCAAAAAAAGGTTAAAATATTCAATTCTTGTAGCTAGTAAATGGCAGCTGGGGTGGCAGGGCTTGGTTCTAAGTTCTCTGACATGACATTCTCTAGTGTTTTCACTAGAATAAGAATTTTATTATACAAAATTTTGCTGTCTGAATGTTTCTCCTTTCCATCTGGTTTAACTGGTTCAAGTTCAGCTATGTTGCAATCAGTTGCTACTTCTCCATGACGCCTCTTTACAAGATGAATCATCTTCCCTCACCCTGTCGGGGTCTCTAACTCTTTGGTTATTTCAGAGCTTTCATATAATCCTCTTATTCATTTCAGAAACTGCTTTGTCAATCTTAGTTTACATGGTAAAATTGAACATTTTGACAAACTACAGCGATTATTCTCTGAAGACAAATTGTTATAGCACTTTTGCGTCCTCTCTACAATGACTAGGTATCTACATTTATATCTACAGATGGATCAACATCACCATTAGTAACACCCAGGTGTACACACACTGAAGGTAACACCTGAGTCTCCTGTGGCCATTGCACTTTCTTCGACGCCTATGATCAACAGCTTAATCTCGCTCTTTGCATTTATTTTACGCCGCTGCCTTTGGAACGTCCATTCTGTATGCAACACGGAGGTTCACAGAGTGCGGCGCCGGCACCACTCTGAGAGGTGGGAATAGAGTTGAAAAGTGAGGACGCCAGGGGTCCCACACAGATTCTCCCGCATGACTTACACCTCAACTTTTGAAAAAATGAAAAAAATTAACAGCTATAATAAAGCCATTGATAGATTTGTTCGATCTATCCTGGCCTCATGAAAATGAAACAAATCTTAATCCAAGACCTCCCACAGGGAACAGAACGCAAGCTGAGACCAGCACAGAGGAGGGGAGGACCAGAGAGGGAGTGGCGGAGATGCTGCTCGGGGCAAGGAAAAACATGCGGGGCGTCGACATGGGCTTGAGCTTCTCGTGTGGACGTAAAACAAAGGAAGGATTCTTTCAAATGTGAAGAACTTCTAGATTCCAGATTTTAGAAAGGACTTAAACCTAGTAGTTTAAAGGAATATTCTTTCATTTGTGTTGATAACACAAAGGAAAAATTAGTTACATAATTTAATGCTTTCCTCGGTAATATGAGGAAACCAGAGAATTTTATAACTAGAATGAAATCAGTCAAAGACTGATTTCATAAAAGAAAAAATGTTTTATTGATTCTTTTAAGATGTTTAAAATTAAACTTCATTAGACAGTCAATAATGTAGAAACCTGCTTCATGTAAAATATTACAGAGGAAGCAGGAACACGGGAAAGTATACTGTGACATTAAAAATAGAAGTGTTCATGATAAAAAGAAAGAGTTAAAAATGCTTCCCTCTTATTTTTGGAGAAATAATTTTGAATCCTATTAAATGCAAGCTTCCCCAGACGTCCCCCAAATGCCCCTTACCCTGTTTTCTAAAACCCAGCTGGGTTGGGGAGCACACGTGGCATCTGGCTTTTCAGCAAAGTCATCATTTTCCACTCACCTCACTCCACATTTTTGCATGTTGCTTACATGTTGAGAAATGACTTCTTTGGACAAAAACATTACTTAAAAATAAAACATTAAATTTAAATGCAATGAGAATATCTTAAAAACCTTACTTACCAACAGAGAATTGGGAAGCCCATTATGTCCAAAAGCCTCAGAAAAGAAATCGGTATTGTGGTCCAGTCTCTGGTGTCCTCCGTATTCCGGTGCATCTGAATCTAGCACAATCTTGAATGTACAGGATTTAAGGAATCTGACCAGTTCAGGAGGTGAATGAGACATTGCAAAATACATTCTCAGACAGCAACTTAAAAGTGAATATTCTACGCACTTATGAAATCATATAATTTGTATTAAATACTCCACTTTGTAAGGCTCCAGAGATTCTCATGTTTCAAAGGAGCTCCACAGGTGACCCAGTCCACACCCTGATGGGACTCTTGTATCTTTCTGTCACAGCTCATTTCCTGACCATCTACGCTGGACTGAGTGTACCTTTAATGGAGAATCGACATCTCTCTTAATACAACTCATTCCCTTTGTTAGAAAGTCTCTACCATATTTCTACCCAGAAAATCCATAAAAGGTAAGTTCAAAATACAATAACTATTGAAATATTAAATGAGTTATGTTATCTCCATATGTTTTAAACCTATTCTCTATTTATCTACATTAGTAACTACATATTAAATATAATCTCAGAACCTTTAGTCATCCCTCACTTGATACGTTTTTTTGCTGCTTCCTCATCTCTGAAGCCACTTCAGTTTTCTAGACCCTGGTTATTAAAGTTAGGAACTCAGAAGTGAACCAAGAATCCACACGTGGTCTGAAGAGAGCAGGCCAAGCAGGCTTCCTCCTCCCCATGGCTCCCAGCAGCACGCTGCTGTTCACACCCAGGCTCAGGCCAACCTGCTATCCATCAAGCCATAGGATTCGTGTTGCAATCATGTGATCTTACTAAAATTTAATACCTGATTCTTCACGGAGTTATTAAACACGTTAGCATTACCCTATTTACAACAAAAGGAAAGTTATAGTTATTATGTTCAAATTTGTTATGCCTAGAATATCTGGACATGACCCGTCATATAAAAAAACTCTGTAAGAAAATGTACATAAATACTTAGAAATATGAGGTTTCTTTTTTAATTGAATTTATTGGGGTGACATTGGCTAATAAAATTATATAGGTTTCAAGTGTACAATATTATAGTCCACCACCTGTATACTGTGTTGTGTGTTCACATCCAGAGTGAAGTCTGCCATCACCGTCCCGCCACCCTCTTTCTCTCTGGCACTCACCACACTGTTGTCTGTGCCTGAGTTTTTGTCTGTTTGTTTGGTTTCGGTTTTGGTTAATCCCTTCAACTTTTCCACCCAGTCCCCCAACCTCTCTTGCCTCTGACAGCTCTTAGTCTACTCTCTGCATCTATGAGTCCGTTTCTATTTTGTTTGTTGGTTCATCTTGTTCATTAGCTTCCCCATACAAATGAAATCATATGGTATTTGTCTTTGTCAGACTGGCTTATTTCACTTATCTTCATATTTTCCAGGTTCATCCATGCCAAGAAACCTTAAATTTCTTTAGCCTAAGGAGGCATACAGACAGGTTTAAGCATTTTGTGTTTTCTTTTTCTGGTATAAAAACCTTTAACCTCAGAAACGTTTGCCTATTTTTATTACAGCGAAAATTGTCGCATTAAAAGTACATATAGGTAATAAAAATGGCCATCATTTTCACATTTAGAGAACCCTAACTGGGCAGAAAATCTGGATGGGGTCACTTATAGGATCTTTGCTGGAGGTGGTGGCTCCATTTTAGTCAACCCAGGTCAGCCAGTTCTGATTCAAATTCAAACTGGTAATCAACGTATTAGTGTGTTTAAAGGAGAAAGGAGCACACACAGACAGACAAAGAGACAGACAGATAGAGAGAGAGAGAGGGAGATTGAGATTCAAAGAATGACTACTGGGCACAAGCACATTCTAAAGTCACTAAATAAACTGGAAATAATTGGAATACACCAATCTATTTAATGGTAAAATATGGGTTGTGAAAATAATTGGAGACACAGTAAATAAATGAAACATTGTGGAATTAAAGGAACTGTTAAAACAAACATTTAGCTTTTGTTCTTCATTCTAGTTAACTCAATACTTGTACAAATCTTCAAATAGCAAAAACAAAACCATCACTAGTTAACAACAAAGTGTCTGAAGAAAGCAAGTGTATCATCAAAAACAGTGGATCACAATCTGTGGGATGAAAAACACTGGTGGCCGAGCTATTATAAGGGTTTCAACAAACGAGTGACTGTGTTATTATAAGGGACTGAGAATCTATTTGAGCATTAGGTATTGTGATTATACACATTTGATACTGTACTTCAAATAATGTGCATTTTTTAATTAAAATGTAGATTCATTTAAAAAGTCACTGAATTTATAGTAGGTTTGTACCTATATAATTTCTCAAAGATTGAAAAATTGTTCCTTCAGAATCACTGTTATATAAGGATCTGATTTCTTTTTGACATTGAAAGGGATCATCATACTTAAAAATGGTTAGAATGTATTCACTTAATATATGTAATTTGTGCTCATAAAGGAAAAGCTTACAAACCCCATAATGCAAGTTTCAAAACATCATTTTAGACCTATTTCTCTGATCTATAATTTAAAGGAAAAACTCTGCTGTGGCCACTTTTGGAGATGCCCAGCCTGCTGTGTGGCTGACCCAGAGAGCACAACGACCCCCTTAGAAAGTGCAGCCCTCAGACACAGAAAGCCCAACGATTTAAACACTAATAATTAAAAGTAATGATTGTGAAAGAGCTTTATCATTACTCATAAAAATCACTACCATATATTATTCCAGTATTAGCAAAACCCCCATATTTCCAGAACGTTGCTTAAAACACACATTTTTAAGTAGGTTATTTGAGCAACTGGCTTGCTCTTCCTGTTCCCTCACTCAGGCACCCCTCACTCCCTCTTAATAATGCGTGTGCCCACGCACAGGGTATGGGGCCCACGCAGCGTCAAACCCCACATTCCGCCAAAAATTTCTCTGAAAATATTACTCAGAGCTAATTTACACTTATTTAAACTAGCTTCTTTACGTAATTTTCAATTCGAGAGTAGATAGAATATATTTAGCAGGGCACCTCCACACGCCCTTTTGCTGTATTCAGTGGTAAGGACGCTGATGCTCAATTTGGGGAAACAAAAGTGGAAGAGCTGGAATATACACATAAGTCAAATATAGATCGGGTCACACTACTCTCTACAGGGGGCAGCTATGTTATGCAGAGAATAAGGCAAAGTGTTTTCAGGTGGAGTTTCCTGTTTAATTCTAGAGTTGAGATCGAAGAATAAAGAGGCCATAATGAACATGACATAACAAAAAGAAGAAGAAAAGCAGGTAAAATAACATTCATCTAAATGATCTACCGAATGAAATTTAAAAGACTGGCATTAAAGGACTGAATTCTATGGAGTGTGAATATCTGTGAAGTTTATTGCATTTGTTCCACATCCGTTTTTTGTTCATTAGGTTCATTTGGTCATTTTATTGAGTGAATACAAAATAGTGGAGCAAACATTTTCTTTGTTCATCTTGGGAAAATATAGCAGGGAAAGAATAATAAAATGATAGGATTATTTTAAGGAGATTTTTTAAAAAGAGACCTAATAGGTACCTATCCATTTGACTGTCATTTAAAAATATTATGATTTCTTCTTATTTTAAATTCAAGAACTTCCTAAGTATTTGATATATCAATCAACAGGTTGAAGTAGGTAAGATGTTTTAAGCATGATTTTATGATCTGTGTCCTTAAATTTGAACCAAGGAAGACAGCCATGTTCTGAGGACCTGTACTAATAAGAGTAAAGAACAGTGAAGGCATGAAGACTCTCAAATTCAATGGCTCTTCAAATACTTCAAAAGCTCCTGTGTTTGCTCAGCCACTTGATAAAGTGTCTGTTCAAAGCGTAAGGATTTTGATGTAAGAAGTACTATCATTTATATCATTCTGCACTAAGCTCTCTTCACTGCACTCCCACTGATGAAGCTAAGACAAATTATAAGGTACAATCCCTGAGGTTTCAAAATGAATGACAATGAAAGGGCTTCTCCAGTGGCCACGATGGCCATAAAGATGGCAACGCTGGTTAATCACCATGTGTCTTCAGATGAAGACATTGTCGATTTTAAGATGAATTATACATATATTTGTATCTCCAACAAAAAGAAAAAATACTATCATGACAATCACTGGTATCATGGTAAGATAAATCCCAACTGAAGACATGTTAAAATGTGGTAAAAAATGTATATTGGAGAACCTTTGCATGTGAAACGGGTGACTACAAAATACTGGTCCAAAATATTTACCTTGCTCAATTTGGGAAAATATAGTAGGAAAAAATGGTGGAATTTTGTTACAGAGATTTTTTTCCCAAAAGAAGATCAAACAGATCTCTATCCATTTGGATTGCACTTAAAACTATTTAAATATTTAGAAACAAAACAAGAAACCAAGGTAATTATAAAGAGAACAAATTGGTGGCTGGCAGGGGTTGGGGGTGGGTTGAATGGGTAAAGGAGGTCAAAAGGTTATTTATACACGAAACTGGTATGCTATTTTCAGATCTCAGTCTTTCAACATCCCACCCATGTAATTATGATTGCAGTAACTTCTGGGAGCTAAGTAACTGCAGAAGAGAGAACCTATATCACAGGCAGAAAACTTTAGATACAAAATTCTAAGCAACTTGGAATAAACATCTGGTAGACTAAGAACAGGTGCTGAAAAGCAAGGAGAGTCTTATGTTTGCAACAGTGTAAAAACAACCACCCAGCACAGGGCTGTCCTGATGTTCTAGCAGCCCTTCCCTTTTAATCTTTCACATGTCAAACTTTATTTATTGGCCACTGCAATCCATAAAACTTTGGGTTACTGCCCTGGCTGGCATAGCTCAGTGGATTGAGCGCCAGAGTATCGCGGTTGATCCCGTAGCACATGCCTGGGTTAGCGCCCGCAGGGGACTGAGAGGCAACCATACATTGATATTTCTCTCCCACTCTTTCTCCTTCCCTTCCCCTCTCTCAAAAAAAAAATAAATAAATAAAATATTAAAAAAAAACAAAAAAAAACTTTGGGTTATAACTGTATAGCATTTCAAATATGTTTGTCCTTTTTAATAAATAAATAGAGCTCAATTATG